GAGATAACTGCAGCAACAGGAGCTAGGCTACGGGCTAGGCACGTGTGCTCGTGTGATCTCTGCGTTCTCTGTTCCTTAGTCGTTTTCCTTGTGCGCACACTTCTTGCTAGTTCACGGGGAAAATTGGCAAGAGTTTCACTAGGAAAAGTTTTGAACAATTGGTACAATGAAGTTGGCATAGCAAGACTACATCAGAGCAAGCATTCAGGTCGGCCAACTGCTAGCGCAGCTTGGTCGACCGCGTTCCAGCACGACTTGGTCGACCGCGCTCCAGCAAGGCAAGGTCGACGGCGTGCCAACGTCGCAAGTTGACGGCGTGCCAGGACAGCAATGCACCCACTTCGCAGATGATTGGCGTGCAGTGTCTCGTCACCTGCACAGTGCACAACACCACGTCAACCTCGAGCTGACGATTGTCTCTGATCGACCACGACGACCTCGGGATACCACCACCGAGGTCGGGCTCGCCAACTTCGCCTGGGAGACCGTCGCACTCCTCCGCAGCACTTCGTCACCCAGGTAACCTGGTCGACCGGGCAACTGCGTCGACCAGTAGCTCCCGTTCGTGCCCTTCGACCTCCCAAGTCGACGACCACCTCCACGTCGACCTCACCAGGTCGACGACACCATCGGTCGACCTCCTCCAGGTCGACGTCCCCTCTGGTCGACCAGCTCCACGTCGACCAGTACAGTCGTCGGCCGACCACCCACGTCAGCCACCCGAATTTGGCGTCACGAAGTTGACGCCCCGCTACTCGACGCCCAACTGCTCGGCGTCCTGAGTCGAGGTCGACGTCGGCCCCTCCTTCGTCGACCACCAGGTCCAGTCGACCACTAATAGGTCGACCAGCAGTTCGTTAGCTGACCGTCGAAGTCGGCTTCCCCAAGTTCACGTCACCAAGTTGACGTCCTCTGCAGGTCGACTCCCAAGTCGACCTCCCTGTAGTCGGCGCCACCCTGAAGTCGGCGCCCGTGCAGTGGTCCCCCGTGCAGGTCGACCTCCTCGTCGACCAGCTCACCCACTGCTGCAGGTCGGCTGCTCCCCTCACACCCGACCACGGAGTCGGCTCCGCCCAAGCGAGGACGGGGCCAATACCCAACTCCCGTTGACACAGCAGCACGCCTCCAGCACCGGGAAAACCACTCGTGCAGCTCATGTGGAGAGAGTGGCTCCCGCATAGACGAAGCACCCAGAGAACCTCCAGGCACAGTACCGCCAGACGCGACACGAGCAGGCCCAGATCCCTCAGGCTCCGCACCCCCAGGTGTAGCACCCCCAGGCTCAGCACCCCAAGTTGTAGCACCCCCAGGTGTAGCACCCCCAGGCTCAGCACCCCCAGTTGTAGCACCCCCAGGCTCAGCACCCCCAGGCGTAGCACCCCCAGGCTCAGCACCCAAAGTCGCAGCACCCCCATGCTCAGCACCCTCAGTAGTAGCACCCTCAGGCTCAGTACCCCCAGGCGCATTACCCACACGCTCAGCACCCCCAGAGTCAGCACCCCCAAGCTCAGCACCCTCAGCAGCACCAGAGTCACCAGCAACCTCGACAGGCTCGACCGCGTCTACATGGGACACACCTGAAGGGGCAGGACCCTGAGGGGGGAGGGGGTCTACCAGGGGGGGACCTGGCACAAGGAAGAGCGGTGGCGGGGGAAGGGACGTAGTGCGGTAGGGGAACAGGCGGTAGTAGGGGACCGACTCGTCGAACGTGACGTCCTGGGAGGACAGAACACGGCGAGAGGTGGGGTGGTAGAACTGCCACCCTGGCGCGTCATGGGGGAACCCCAGGAAGACGCAAGGAGCAGCACGAGGGGACAGCTTGTCCGAAGACAAGTCGCGGACAAACGCCCGAGATCCCCAGACACGGAACGCAGACGCATCGCCAACCTTCCCCGTCCACAGCAAGGCCGGGGAGGTCTCCGGCATGGAGACCCTGGGCTGAAGGTTGATCAGATGCGCCGCGTGCCGAACCGCAAACGGCCACAGAAAATGGGGGGCAGCCGCATGCATCATGGACGTACGAGCGACGTCCATGACCATGCCAATGCGGCGCTCAGCAATCCCATTTTGCTGTGGAGAGTCCGGAAGCTTGAAGGTCTAGCAGATGCCTCGTGCACGACAGTAGGCACGCAGAAGGCCAGAGGAGAACTCTCAGCCTATGTAAGAGTGCATACGCAGAACAGGAAAGTCCGAGCCGAAGCTCTTCCTGAGCTGGAGACGAGCTGCACGGATCCAGTCGATCAACACCTCAGTGACATCACCCTTGCTGTGCAAGGGGAAGACTGTGGTGTAACGCGAGTAGTCATCAACCACCAGCATGAATTAGCACTCGTGACCCTGTCCACGGACGCGGGCTCGGCCCCACACGTTCATGTGAAGCGTCTGCAGCGGGGCCTCTGTCGGAGGAAACTAGGAGGAGTGAGGGGCAGCACGCTGCCGCCCCTCGACGCAGGGGACGCAGGCAGGGGCAGGCCCCGGGGGAAGGGGAGGTAGGGACCGGGGAAGACCAGAGACAAGGAGACGGGCCGCCATGCCTCGAGACGAGGAAAGGAGGGGTGACCAAGGCGGTGGTGCCACAGGAGAGTCTCGTGAGACAGGAGACGACACGAACAGGGGGCAGACTCAGGACCAGACCTGGACGCTGCAGCAAACACCTGACCCGACGCAGCTACCCGACCAGACGCAGTGACTGGAGGAGACTCAGTGGTCAGTGTGTACGGGCTCGACCCCTGGCTGCCGTGTAAACGTGGCCAGGTGTCTGCCCGTCCGAGCCTTAGCGCAGTGGGTCACCCGCTGGCTGGCAGGAGTGAACTGGTGCACTCCCCCATCTTGTAGGTCAGCACCACTCACCAAGTTCGTAGAGAACGAGGGGAGGTAAAGACCAGACAGTGTGCCAGAGGGAGCCGCCGGACACAAGAGGACAGTGGAGAAATGAGCAAGGACAGGGCCGTTAGAGGGGTCTGCCAGAGAGACTGCAACTGGCCGACCAAGCGGCGTGAGTGTGGTGCGGTCTCGAAAGAAGGAGCGAGAAGCCCCAGAGTCAAGGGTGAAGGTGTGGGAGGCCGAAGCCGACGTAGTACCGGAGAGAGCAGACTCACCAGCACCTGAGGAAGCAGACGCACTAGCACCTAGAGCAGTAGCCTCGCTAGCACCAAGAGCAGCAGCCTCACCAGCACCTAGAGCAACAGTCTCAATGCCCGGGTCGGGCGGGAAACACCGGTAACAGTCACCCTCATCACTAATAGTCACAGCATACATAGCAGCAAGAATAGCATCAAAGTGAAGGTCAAAGATAGCTACCCCCGCCCTAGACAGCTCGCCCCAGCGAAGGAAGCCAGTGGCCTCAGGGAACTGGTGACGCCAAGCGTCCATCAGGCGGCCAAAGCAGTGCTGCGTGGGGTGCACACCCCCACACTGCTCACCCGCACGGTCGCCGGTGCGCAGGACGTAGGTGCACGGACCAGTACCCCCGCCCCGCTGGCGTGCAGCAGTGGCAGGGGAGGAGTAGCGTGCAACTACAGTGTCGTACAAGGTCTGAGCACTCTTGTACTGACTAAAGTGTGCACGCTCAGAGGTAGGCAGGTGGCGACGCACAGCAAGACGTGCAGCAGCATCGCGTGAGGCCCACTGTGAGCGAACAGTGGCGTCGGCATCAGCAGCAGGGGTAGGAGAGGCACCAGCGGTGAGGTCAAAGATGGAGGGACCGTGTGCCCTATCGCACTGTTGGAACAGCTGCAGGTCATCTACCCAGACGTCAAGGTCAATGGCCCGACCCTCATCGTCAAAAGTGAGGACACTAGGGGTAGCCATGACAACACTAGACTAGTAGTACGTGCAGTAGGGTAAGGGCAGTGCAGTGACAGAGGCGCTGCTCTTCCCGGACTGGGCGGCTCGGGCAACTCGGCGGCTCGGCGGCGCAGCAACTCAGCGGTTCGGGCGGCTCGGCGGTACGGCGGCTCGGCAGCAACTGCGGCTCGGCGACTCGGCTGCGTGGGCGGCTCGGGCGGTACGGCGACTCGGGCGGCTCGGGCGGTACGACGGCTCGGACGGCTCGGGTGGATCGGGCAGCGCGGCAGCTGCTCGGCGGTGCCGGCGGCTTGGTGGTGACGGCGGGGCCGCGTGGGGAGCGGCGGTAGGGTCGGATGGAGCGGCGTCGGGGCCGGGTGGAGCGGCGTCCGGGCCGTGTGGAGCGGCGTCAAGGCCAGTAGAGGCGGCGCCGGGGCCGCAGGGGTAGGCGACGGGGCCAGCAGGCGCGGCGCCGAGGCAGGGGTAGGCGACGGGGCCGCTAGGGCGGCTAGGAAGGGGAGGTCGCGACGGCGGCCGCTAGGGCGGCTAGGAGGGGGAGGTCGTGACGGCGGCCTGAAGAGGCCGCGAGGGCGGCACGAAGGGGCCGTGAGGGCGGCGCGACGCGACGAAGCCGCGAGGGCGGCGGATCGGGGCCGCAAGGGCGGCGGATCGGGGCCTAGATCACGAGTTCTGGAAGGATTTCTCTGAGGAGGACTGCACCTGGCTGTCTGGCCCATTGGGCTTCTCGATGGGTGAAGTTTTGCCCCATTGATCACGCGCTCTGGGATGACTACAGCGAGGAGGAGCACACGTGGCTTTACGTCCCTGGGGTTCCCTTTTGTGAGCCTGTTGTGACCCTCACTCTTGGCGCTGCACCTGCCAGCAGCACGTCAACAAACGGCTACAGCAGCTCTAGCGTGGCCAGCAGCAGCACCAGCGGCAGCAACATCATTAGTGGCAGCAGCAGCACCAGCGGCAGCAGTAGCATCAGCAGACGCAGCGCCGGCAGCAGCAGCTTTAAGAGCGCCAACAGTGCTTTGATGAGCAAGCGGCTGCAGCAGAGGCTGCATGCCGTTGCGGTGCGCGTGGGGCGGTTGAACGAGGACGAGCAGAGCACTGCGCGCTCCCCCCGTGCGTCGCTAGGTTTCTCCTCGCTGCGACCCACCAAGCCCGTGAGTTAGCCGCGCAGCAACACGCCCACGCCCAGCCACGTCATGGGTGCACGCACTGCTGTCACCACTGCTACTCACATTGCTGCTGTCAGCAACGCTGCTGTTAAGACTGCTTCCGTGAAGACCCTTGCCGTGAAAAGTGTTGCTGTTAAGGCCGCAGATTCAGCAGCCAAAGGAACGCGTGCATCTGCAGCTGCACCAGCCAAGGCTGTTGCTGCTAGAAGCGTTCCTACCAAGCCTGCAGCTGCTGCAGCTAAAGGCACTCCAGCCAAGGTCACTTGTATGACGCCTGCAGCTACAAGCAGTGTTGCTGTTAACAGCAGCCCAGTGGGGTCGGTGGCAACAAAAGTGGCAGGAGAGAAGGCGAGGGAGCAGGGCAATGGGAGGGCAGCACACACGGCGGAGCGTGGAGCAGTAGGGAAGGCGGCGTTGGGAGGGGTGGAGGTAGCAGGAGGGCACGCAGCAGGTGTGGGGTCGGGTTTAGGGCGTAGTGGTGGTGGTGCGACTCTAATCCCTAAGCCTGGGCAGAGCAGGGCAGCGCACACGGCTGCAGCGGCTAAGGCAGTGCAGGGTGCGCCTCACATCACTCATAAACCGGCTGCTCCAGCAGCAGCAGTGGCCGCCACTCTCATTCCCAAGCCACGCTACCCTGCAGCCAGTGGCATTCCGAAGCCACACAGCGCAGAACCCAAGGGAAGCAGTTCACGGTGATGAAGCAGCAGGTTTGGTAGCATTACCAATAGCAAGGCGGCAGATCCAGAGGCATTGCCTTGGGATGTGGAGGGAGGGTGGTGCGGGTGGGATGAGCATGGCTAGTGGGATGAGCATGGCTGGTGGGATGAGCATGGCTGGTGGGATGAGCATGGCTGGTGGGATGAGCATGGCTGGTGGGATGAGCATGGCTGGTGGGATGAGCATGGCTGGTGGGGGCTGGTGGCAGGTGCATGGCGGGACTTACCCCTTTTTGCACCCTGCTTGTAGGGTGTTGTGGGAGAGATGGCAGGAGAGGTGGAGGCATGTGGTCAGCTGGAGGCATGTGGCCAGCTGGAGGCATGTGGCCAGCTGGAGGCAAGTGGCCAGCTGGAGGCATGTGGCCAGTTGGAAGAATGTGGCCTGAGCCTTCACTTTGGCAGAAGATGAAGCTGATTGGGACGAGCAGAACGTGGAAGGAGCCTCGGAAGAAGCCGGAACCCTCCCCTACTGCTCCGTTGACGTGCCAATGGATGACGAAAATCCACGCGAAATCATCAACGCCGAAGCCTATTACCACTTCGCTGACAACGGTTACATTACGCCTGCACAAGTCGACACCAACGAAGCAGAACGTGTAGGACCAAACTTCAACCCTACACCAGAACCGGGAGACGAAGCAGTTTATCCCGAGGACACGTCACTTCCCCGCTACACACAAAGTGGCCTCCAAATACTTGGCCTGGTCACCGCGGTCCACGGCATTACCATTCCTAAGGAGCCTGCGGCAGTTCAGCAGGCTCTGGGGGGGGAGCATAAGGAAAAATGGCGCGAAGCCATGGACAAGGAGCTGAAATCACTGGAGGAACGCAACACCTGGAAGGTCGTTCCTATCGGCGTAGCATGGAACAAGACGATTCTCACCGGAAAGTGGGTCTTCCGCGTGAAGACAAAGGCTGACGGCACCATCGACAAGTTCAGAGCACGCTGGGTCGTACGCGGCTTCGACCAGGAACATGGACGCAATTTCACCGAGACATTCGCTCCAGTCAGCCGACACACCTCGCTGCGAATTCTTCTCGCGATCGCCGCCATGAAGAAAAAGAAGCTGCGGCAAATTGACGTCGCCAACGCCTTCCTCTACGCACCCGTCGATGTAGAAATCTTCGTCGAGCTACCGCACGGCTCCAACGGAGAGCCTAATCAAGTCTGTCAGCTGCTGAAGTCACTCTACGGTATCAAACAAGCTCCAAGGCTGTGGCAGCAGTACCTACATGCAAGACTCACTCGCATCGGATTCCGCCAGCTACCTCACGACCAAGGCATGTACCGGCTCACGAAAGGAACTCACTACATCCTGCTACTCGTCTACGTAGACGATTTGCTCTACATTGGCTCAACCAACAGCGTCACTACCTGGTTTGAAGGGGAGCTGCAACAGGATCTCACTCTCACAGTATCATTGACCATCACGCAATACCTCGGCCTCAACATACGGGAAGAGGAGGACGCAATCTACCTTAGCGCTGCAAAGTACGCCGACACAATCGCCAAACGCTTCGCTCTCACACCAACTACCATCTCCACGCCATACCGCTCTACTCAAGCCCGCCGACATATGCGACTACCAGAGGAAGCTGGGATGCCTCCTCTTCGCAGCTATCACCTGCCGCCCGGACCTATCGTACTCTGCAAGCCAGCTCGCCTCCTACCTCAAGAAACCTGAAGTGGAACATCTGGCGGAGCTCGACTGTGCTCTCACTACCTCATCAGCACTCCAACGATCGGCCTGACCTATCACAAGAACGGGACCACAGCTCCTAAACTAATCGGCTACGCTGTCGCCGATCACGCCGGCGACTCCGACAACAGACGCTCGCGCACTGGCTACATCGATCGCTTCGAGCCTATTGGACCTATCTCCTCGCAGTCTAGCAAGCAGGAATTAATCACCCTCTCTTCAGCTGAAGCAGAATATATCGCACTCTGCTCAGCCACCAAGGAAGGATTGTACCTTCGCGAACTCCTGGAGGAAGCCAAGCTAGCCCAGTTACCAAACTTTACCCTGTTCTACGATAACCAGTTGGCCATTCGCATAGCCAACAAGAAAGGCTTCGCGAACAGGACGAAACACATCGCCCTACGATACTTCTTCGTGAAGGACGAGATCGAGAAGGGGAGACTCGAACTGTCGTACTGCCTCACGTCCGAGATGGCATCTGACTACTTGACCAAGAAGCTCGGAAAGCAGAAGTTCGAGTACTGCATGCTGCTGACTGGACATAGCCACGTCACCAGCAACGACACTCCAGAAGCGAAGGGGAGTGTTGGAAACAATTAACTCTAAGCGCCTCTGTCGTGTCGAAACACCAAGTCAGAAGCGAAGCGAAGCATATCGAAGCACTGGGGAGTCAACCCTTGGAGGTTGAAGTAACTTTCGGAGGTTACGCGAAAGTCAAAGGTCAGCGACCTTTAACCTGACAAGTACAGCGCGACAGCAAGGACACACAACTGACTCGTTACAAATCAGTTGCCCGAGTCGTCACTGTATCGAACCGCAACAGCAACAGTAAAGTAGTTATAACAGTATCTCTTCATATTTCCTGTACTCCTATATAAACTTGTATCTCTTAGCTTTAATCAATCAACTTTGCCCTCACATACTAGCGCAAGGTGGTTCACAACTCTTCATTAAAACGCTTCCGCTACTACATCAGTTTTACCCAGAGTTCACCCCTGCAAAGATCCTAAGGGCTATTTCTCAGCCCAACATAAAGGAGCAAGGAAGCTGGATGATGTGCTGTGCTGGTCTAATTTCTAAAACAGCAATTATGTTAATATCAGAAATTATACAACTTTCTTGCTGGGCATCCGTGAGCATTTTTAGCAAACGCATTGTACCGTACCCAATCTCGAGCGCGCGCCTCCTCGGCACTCACTAGCAGCTAGCCCTTTGACCGTCAACTCAACCAGCGGCCAATCGAACGCAGTTCGCAGCTTGGAGTTCGCCACACCACCCCGCAGTTTCGCCACACCTCCGCCGCTCAGCGCTTCGCCGACTCGGCGGAGCAGCGAGCGGGAAACGGATAGCGCGATGAGGGCGACGCGAAGAGCGCAGCAGTGGCAGCAGCGATGCGCCCACGCGGGGAATCGGGCTTAGCGCGCAGTTAAGTGAGGGGCCGCGTTCCGCTGGCGCGATCAAGTGAGGTGCTCGCGCGAGGACCCGTCGCTTTCCGGGGGCGTTTCGACACGTCGAGCGCACCTCGTGAAGCACACGCCGCACTATAGGACGTGCGCCTGCAGTTAGACGCGCATCCCCTTTCCAAACACCTCTCGGTGTTCCATGTGCGAATCTGATTTCGCATACCAAAGGGATCAATGAAATGAATAGGATGGAGAGCAGCCCTACTCTCGCTCGTCCCCGTCCGTCTCATGGCGCCTCCCATCTCTCTTCGCTTGTCCGCGCACCCCCACGCTCTCCGCGAGGCGAGCGGCTTCTTTCCGCATGTTACATGCGCCGCTCCTCCCGTCCACCTTCGCCTGATGCCGCAGCAGCGTGGGTTTGCGTGAGCGCGGGGGAAGCTGCAGGGCAGCGCAGAGAGGGGGGGTGAGAACATGCGCGGGCAGAGTTGGAGCGCGGATCTGCGAGCCGTCTCACTACAAGCAGCCTCGATTGACCGCAGGCAATCACGGGGGAATGGGCGCAAGGGGGATGGGCGCAAGGGGGGATGGGCAAGGGGGGGGGGATGAGCAGCGAAGTGGGATTGGGCGCAAGAGGGGTTGCTGACAGTCGTGCTGTGCTGGCAGCACAGGCGGCAGTGGTAGCACTCATAGGCAGCACATGCCATGGCAGTGCTGCTGCAATGTTCGCTCCGCTCATGGTGAGAAGCAAGGCGCCCTTGAGATTTCCAGTCTGTTGCCCGCGTATGCCTATCTCTTCCCCCTCCCCTCCTCCCCCTCTACACTCACATGCATGTCTCCACCACCAAACTCCCCCCCTCCCCCCCCCGCTTCCTTCACTCACATGGCTGTCAGGCCGTTTTGGTGGTGAGGAAGCAGCGCCGGCAGGCAGTGGTGGCAGCGGCAGACGAGGCGAGGGGAGGGCAGTGAGTGGATGGCACGGAAGTCCCGTTGACCGGCGTTGACTCGGTTGAATGTGAGTGTGGGCGAGGAAGCAGGACCGATGGCAGACAAGCCATGCAGGAGGAGAGGGGAGGGGTGAGGATGGGAGGGGCGAGGAGGGGAGGGGCGAGGAGGGGAAGCAGTTGCAATGTGCACGATGCATGGCATGCGCAATCTCAGTCCCTCTGACGGGGCAGGAAGAAATGGTGGGCCATATCATGCCCACCCTGTGCATGCTCTATCATTGTGTCAGGGCAGGGGATTGAGTTGACTCGATAGCGCCGGGCAGGGGTAGAGGGGGTTGTGTGAAAAGAGAGAGCTCAGCTCTCCTAAACATTGCGCTGTTGTGCAACAGAGGGGAAAAGGGGTCCTGGATGGGTGGAGGGAGGGGGTTCACATGCCTCTCCTTTGTTGCTTACGCAAGGGGTGGGATGGGAGAGGAAAAGGGGTGCGGGATGGGTGGAGAGGAGAAGGGGTGCGGAATGGGTGGAGAGGAAAGGGGTGTGGGATGGGTGGAGAGGAGAAGGGGTGCGGAATGGGTGGAAGGTTTGCATCATGGGATGGGTGAAGGGTTTGCATCATGGGATGGGTGGAGGGTTGGAGGTTCTACCATCTTCCCATACACGCGCCTCACTTCAAAAGCTTCAATTGGCCTTTTTTGCCCTCTCTGCCCCCTCCTCGTGGTTGCCTCCCTGTATCAGCATCACCCAAGTCCCGCCATCCCTATTGCAGCACCAGAGCAGCCTTACCCTTCCCGTGCCTCTGCGTGCCTGCCCGTGTGCTCCACTGTACAACAATGCAGGCCATCTTAAAAGTTGTGAACCCCACTCTCCCCCATCAACGTACAATGCCCCCTGCCTCTTGCCGTTCTACGAGACTGTCCCAAGTGTCGCTTCGCTGTGTATGCTTCCTCCCAGAATGTGACATGCCCCTATGGCCTACCCCACCGCACTTCCTGGTGTGGCAGTCTGGCTGTGAGTGGGCAGCAGGGACATGGAATGTGACTCAACTAGAACGTAAGCGTGTAGTCATGTTGGGGGCTAGGATGGAGGTTGGTGGGGTTGGGATAACATGGAATGGCTTGTTCGTCTGGCTTGTTCTGTTCCGCTATGCCTGTGTGGCAGCACTAGTATATCTACCGTAATACCCCGGATATAAGACCCCCTCCAGTTGTAGACCCCCGGGTCTATAATACGGAGGGGGGTACGCTAAATGGGTCGTTTTTGTTATACCCCCCTAAATGGGGGCTAACATTATAAGACCCTCCTCCCCCTAGAGAATCGGTCGTTTTATTGGCAATGAATGCAATTCTGATAGCTTTTCTGCCCCTTTCCGCACCATATCCCATAAAATTTTCATTAAAGCCAGCAGCTAAAATAGTGACCAGAGGACCAGCTTGAAAGAGTGCCAAAATTTTGGGGGCAAACTGACAAGTTTGCATTGTTTCAAAGAGAGCGGCTATACAAATCGAGCACATCTGATTGGTTCCCGCCAACCAAAAAAATATCCAACCCAGCACGTCAGGTGTCGCATCTCATTTTTTGAAGCCGCGCAACCATAGCACTACGATCGTTTTGTCACGTCCAAGCGATCTGGGGCCAGCTTTCCTTTCAACTTGGGATTGGGTGAACTACTACTTCTTCCGCTCATTTGCACCTGCTCCTTAGTTATGCGTAGCTTCTGTAGCCATATAACTCTGCAATTAGGTCGTTGTTACCGCAATTTAGACGCGTAGTAACTAGAGGGCATGGTTGCGTACTACTTCTGCCGTTTCGATCGTCCTCTATCCCCCCTCCCATCCCATCTCGCTCATCCTCCCGTTGTGATATCAGTCGCGCCGTCCGTCCCGTCGCATCGCGATCATGTCGTCCATTCCGTAGCCCTCCCGTTTATCTCCCCTCGCTACCCATTGCCTCGGTTATCTCCTCTCGCTGCCCGCTGCCTCGTTTATCGTGGCGCCGTTCCCTCGCCTTCAATGTCCCCGTTCCTTCCCGTCGCCTCACGATCTCCCCTCTCTCCCCTCACCTTCGATGTCCCCGTTCCTCCCATCGCCTCACGATCTCCCCTCTCTCCCCTCGCCTTCGATGTCCCCGTTCCTTCCCGTCGCCTCACGATCTCCCCTCTCTCCCCTCGCCTTCGATGTCCCCGTTCCTTCCCGTCGCCTCACGATCTCCCCTCTCTCCCCTCGCCTTTGATGCCCCCGTTCCTTTCCGTCGCCTTATGGTCTCCCCTCTCTCCCCTCGCCTTCGATGTCCCCGTTCCTTCCCATCGTCTTACGGTCTCCCCTCTCCCCATATACGCATCATGATGTCAATTTCGTGTAATAATTTTGTATGCTAAACACGAATTTCATTGGCTAAAAACGAAGCACATAGTGTTGACATGTATGACTTCCAAAACACAAGAAGTATACTGACCTTATGATAAGACCCGGGTCTTATAAAATGTAGCCAACTGTGAAAGCCCGGGGTCAGCATGGTAAAATATCAAGTTATGTGGATTTGAAATAGGCTGTATGCGAGATCCGCGAAACCAATTTCGGTTGGCTGCCTTTGGCGAGAACGACTATCCCCCGCAAACTAGTGAACATTTCGCACTCACCAAACCTACGAATCCCACCAACCCAAAGCGACAAATGTGTCGCACACATCCCTCTCTTGGAGCATGGAAAGTGTGGCTCACTCGAAGTCTCCTCACCTCACCACTGAACCAGCTCGATGCTAACGGGAAGTAGAAAAACAGAGCAGCGCACGTGCTGGGTATCAACGCCACCTACTCAACGCCACAACAGAATCGTGTTTGGGACGATGCTGTGCCCAGATTACTAGCTTACCGACCATCGCAGGAGCTGGCAACAGCAAAGTGTAGGAACGTGCAAGCGCGATCGCACTTACGAGAAAAAAAAGGGACGACATACTAGAGACTACAAGAAGCTAGGAACAACAAGAAACCGGTAGTGTATTGGAGTCGTTGTTACTAGCCAGGGGGAAGAAAGCGGACGTGATAGGGCTCTTGCACCAAGCGCCGAGCAGCACCCGCTCGTCGCATTTAGCTGCTCGCGTTCTGTGCGACGCGGAGCCCGCATTCCTCGCGACGCTGAGCCCGCATTCCTCGCGACGCGGATCCCGCATTTCAGGCGGATCGGAGCCCGCCTTCCAGTCGACGCGGAGCCCGCGTTCCCCGCGACGCGGAGCCCACGTTCCCGGCGAAGCGGAGCCCGCATTCCAGGCGACGAGCAGCGAGCGCTCCAGGTGACCGGGCTTGGGCCACCGCGCGCACAACTAAAGCGGATAATGCGCACTGACGGGGAGCAAGGGGTGGCACACGCCCCTGCGGGTCACGAAAGAGGAGAGCCCAGGTGAGTGCCCAACTCCCTACATCCCAAAAATGTTTTCGAGGGTGTTGGCGTAGCGAAACATGCAGTAGGTTCTTCGTATTCCCGTCCAAGGTGTATGTGTAGTCCCTCTGATGCACCTGCACAATATTTGGGGTACCTCGTACCTACCATCCTAGTACCTAGCAAATTTGAACTGGGTAGAATGTATTGCTTTGGTACTGGTTACTATGTGAGGACTCTGTGTACGGAGCGAAACTAGTATGCTCTAGCCTACATCGACCATAGTACAGCAACAATGGTCGCTGCTGCCTTGGGGGTCCTATCACGCTCACATGTCACGAGGCAAAGGCAGCAGCAACCATCAACAACGGTTGCTGCTGCCTTGGGGGTCCTATCACGCTCACATGTCACGAGGCAAAGGCAGCAGCAACCATCAACAACGGTTGCTGCTGCCTTGGGGGTCCTATCACGCTCACATGTCACGAGGCAAAGGCAGCAGCAACCATCAACATCGGTTGCTGCTGCCTTGGGGGTCCTATCACGCTCACATGTCACGAGGCAAAGGCAGCAGCAACCATCAACAACGGTTGCTGCTGCCTTGGGGGTCCTATCACGCTCACCTGTCACGAGGCAAAGGCAGCAGCAACCATCAACAAAGGTTGCTGCTGCCTTGGGGGCCCTATCACTCTCACGTGTCACGAGGCAAAGGCAGCAGCAACCATCAACAAAGGTTGCTGCTGCCTTGGGGGTCCTATCACGCTCACGTGTCACGAGGCAAAGGCAGCAGCAACCATCAACAACGGTTGCTGCTGCCTTGGGGGCCCTATCACGCTCACGTTTCACGAGGCAAAGGCAGCAGCAACCATCAACAACGGATGCTGCTGCCTTAGGGGTCCTATCACGTTCACATGTCACGAGGCAAAAGGCAGCAGCAACCATCAACAAAGGTTGCTGCTGCCTTGGGGGTCCTATCACGCTCACATGACACGAGGCAAAGGCAGCAGCAACCATCAACAACGGTTTGCTGCTGCCTTGGCGGTCCTATCATGCTCACATTTCACGAGGCAAACGCAGCAGCAAACCGTTAACAAAGGTTGCTGCTGCCTTGGGGGTCCTATCACGCTCACGTGTCACCTCCATGCACGCACCAGAGTTGTCCCAAGGCAGGGCGCAATCAATGTTGGGAAGCATGCTTTGGGCCTGCTGTGACCACCATGCACGCACCTGTGCTGTCCCAAGGCAGCAGCAACCAATGTTGCTGCTGCCTTTGGCCTGCTGTCACCATCATGTACGCCCCTGCTCTGTCCCAAGGCAGCAGCAACCAATGTTGGTGGTGCCTTGGGCCTGCTGTCACCACCATGCACACAGCCATTGTGTGTTGCTTGGCGTGCAATTGCAAATTTCTTTTTTATCCTAAGATACCCTAAACCTTGCCCCTGGCCCCCTACCCCTGACCCTCCACCTCTCCTGCTCTCCAGCAGTTGTGTCACGTGTCCTTGCGGCTCTGCCCTGTCCTTGCAGCTCTGCCCTGCCCTCTCATGCACCGCCCCGCCCTTCCCCCCCCACCTCCCCCCCGGGTCCAGCATGCCCCACCCCTGCCCTGCCCAGATGGTTGTCCCCGAGACTATTTAGCGCGACAGGCACACCGTCCTAAAATCTGGCTTACCATCCATCTCATTGGCGCTAATTGCAGGTTACCACTGTGAGAGGGATGCGGATGAAACCCCATCGGATCAGGAGGTTGAAGTGGCAAACGCAATGATAAGAGATGCGGGAGAGTGGAGCGACCGTGGTGATGAGTGGTGGATAGAAGGCCGTTACGATGGAGGGAAGTGGAGCTATGGGTGGAAGGTCAGGATGAGTGAATGGGTTGTGTTTACTTCCCCATGACGCACCTGTGGTCTTCAACATGCCATGCTTGAGTGGGTTTAGTGGTCTTCTGTCCTAAACCTAGTCATGCTAGGATGCATCTACGTTCGTAACAATCTGCATAGCGACATTTTGAATGACCGCATGCACATATTATAGTATTCATAGACAATTTAGGCAGTTGGAAGTGAGGATAGAGTTAGCCTTATGAAATGCCTCTGTTCAACCAGCATGTGACAATCTATGCTAATGCCAACCCCTTTAGCAACCAGTGCTGTCGCCATCTGTGTGGAGTTATGGTCCTCATGCTTTCGTAAGCATAAACATGCGCGTGTGCCCACCCTTCTCCTTGCTAATGTGAATGCAATCCAGATAGGTCTGGAATAAGAAGGGAAGTCGAGAGAGCACGGGGCATGGGGAACGTGAGCTCATTCCAAAGTCTGCTGAGCTGCCCCCTAGTTGCACCTGCGCCCTCCCTCCTCCTTTCGGATGTGAATGAACGCCAAATAGCCCTGCAAGGAGCCAGGTGGAGGCAGGAAGAGGGGGTGAATAGAAAATGAGCTTGTTCCCAACTCTGTTGCGCTGCCCCCTTGTTGCGCGTGGGATGAAGAGGAAAGGCACATGGGGAGGGGGAGGAGAGACACATGGGGAGGGATTGGAGAGGTACATCGGGAGGGACAAGGAAGATGGTTAGATCGAGGTAGAGGGGTGGCATATGGGGAAAGCTAAGGGTAACCTGGTGCGTGACGCTTACCTCTATGAGGGAGGGGGGAAGCAGGGTGGAGGGAGAGGGGAAGCAAGGCGGAGGGAGGGGGGGAGCAGGGCGGAGCGAGGGGGGAAGCAGGGCGGAGGGAGGGGGGGAGCAGGGCGGAGGGAGGGGTGAAGCAGGGAGTAGGTAGGGAGGAAGCAGGGAGGAGGGAGGGGGGAAGCAGGGCGGAGGGAGGGGGGAAGCAGGGCGGAGGGAGGGGGGAAGCAGGGCAGAGGGATGGGGGAAGTAGGGCGGAGGGAGGGGGGAGGCAGGGCGGAGGGAGGGGGGAAGCAGGGCAGAGGGATGGGGGAAGCAGGGGGGAGGGAAGGGGGAAGCCAGGAGGAGGGAGGGGGGAAGCAGGGCGGAGGGAGTGGGGAAGCAGGGAGGATGGAGGGGTGAAGCAGGGAGGAGGGAGGGGAGAAGTAGGGGGAAGGGAGGGGGGAAGCAGGGGGAAGGGAGGGGGAAAAGAGGGAGGAGGGAGGGGTGAAGCAAGGAGTAGGCAGGGGGGAAGCAGGGGGGAGGGAGGGGGGAAGCAGGTCGTAGGGAGAGGGGATTGGGCGGTAAACCCGCTCTCACCTCTGGCTCTCACTCTCTGCCCTTCCCCCTCCCTCCCCCTCCATCCTTCCCATTCTGTCTCTCCCTCTCGTCCCTTCGCCCTCTGTCTCTCCCCCTCTGTCCTTCCCCCTCTGTCTCTCCTCCTCTGCCCTCCCCCCTGTTCCTCCCCCCTCTGTCTCTCCCCCTTTATCCTTCCCCCTCTCCCCCTTGTCCTTATCCTTGTGACCTTCCCATCTCCCCAGCCCGTTCCCTTCCTGTCCACCGCCCATCAATCAAGCTTTCAATGTGACACCATCCCCCCCTCAGCTGGTCATCCCCCTCTGTCCCTCCCTTTCTGCCCATCACATCAGTAGGCTAAACCCTGCGGCTGGACGGAGCAAGGGCGTATGAGGGAGATGCTACACACGATTGTGTCGATGGCGACGTGGGTAGGGGTTGGCACTTGCGACAAACGCCATCCAATTGGGGTGGCGGAGGCGACGAGAAGAGGCGAGGGCCAGGCAGCAGCAACTGGGGCAACGACGCATGAACGTGACGTCGGCTTCAGCTATTGATCTACGGCAGATTGCGACTGAATGATTGAGCGCGTGACGAGGGGAGCAGGGCGTCTGCCGAAGGGAAGCGCGCGTTACGCGCGTGGGAGGATAGCGGGTATCGAGGGGAAACGCGCGGGAGGAGAGGGCGCATCGAGGGGAAGCGAGCGTGACGCGAAGGCGCGTGCGCGACTGGCAGAAATGCGCGCGAAGCACGGAATCCCGGGCAAGCGCGAGTGACGAGGGCAGGCGCGAGTGGCGAGGGAGGGCGCGGGTGGCGAGGGCGGGCGCGGGTGGCGAGGGAGAGCGCGGGTGAATACGCGCGCTAAACGTGAGGTAGCATGGTGAAGCACTCGTTTGACTGTCACGTTCCGTGTGAAAAACGCGACAACGTATGTAAATAGCGGGTGACTCTAGGCGCCTGCTGCCCAGCTATTGGCGAGACAGCATGTGTGCCTTGGGAGTTGCTGTAAATATCGCGGCTCCTAAAACTAGTGCAAGGCGCACAGGCTGTCTACTTGGTGAGGGAGTAGGCAGTTCATGAGTACGACTAGGTGTTCAAGATATGTGAGAGCCAAACAGTGGGCCAACCTGGGCGACGTTCGGTTCTTTTTTGCGACTCTGCTCAAAAGCCAATGAGGAGAGAGTGTCGCTCGGCGTTGTCCCAAGGTCGCGATAGTTTTAGACAGAGAAATAGGGTAACCCTGTTTTTTACGAATTCAAGTTCAAGAATCTTGAAATTTAAAAAAACCATGCTGTACTCGGGCTTTAAGACCCCCCCTCATTTTTGGGGTGGGATTCTTATAATACCCCTGGGTCTTATATCCGGGGTATTACGTTAGCTGCATATTAATGTACAGTAGGACCAGAGACCCATGCTACCATGTTGATGTTGATATGGCATGAGACAAAACGCTAAAAGGGAAAATCAATAAATGATATTGATTGAAATATCATTGTAAGGCCAGAACCTATATTCATAAGGCAAAGTAGAATTCACAACAAGAATTCGCTTGATTGTAATGTAGGGAAACGATTTCTGAACTTCCAAATTGTTCCCGCCTTTCACCATTCCGCCAAGCCCTCGACCTTGTCGCGTCGCTACAGCTCTAGTCTCAAGACCTGACGGTGGGACTAGCAAGCCCTTGATAGTCGTCGTCGCGATTAGAAAGCGCAGGTCAGGGTGGGAAAGCGCCGTGACAACCCACGCTGGCAGGGCGCTATCATGGGACTGATCCGCACCCATGATGACGTGGAGTAGCTAAGTCCAGGTGTGCCTGTCTTACCCACATGCTTGAGAGACCTAGAACTTTGGTGGGCCCGACTTGACCAGCGTGGCTTGCTCTCACGATAGACACGTCGTCTACTGTAGAGCGTCGAGGGAATTTCGCAAACTATCATGCCAATGGATTTGCCGAACGAACAGCGCTACCCGAGCCTCGGCACCATACCTGACACTCCCGTTGCCAACGGAATTCCCTCGTCTGGCTACCACCGTCAACTAAAGCGGCTCGTCAGTAACGGATCGCTCATCACCATCATTTCAGACACTGCTCTTTTAGTCACGAGTAGAAATCCCTGTCCGAGAGCAACACCATTTCAGTTGAATCACATCGTTCTGTACTCACAAGCTCGTTGCTATCCCCTTGCTCAAGCCTCGAGGTTCTCTTTCCACGTGACTGCCTGATGGCCGTGAAAACCCTCGCTTCGTGCAGCAAGGCTGACACCGACGACCTCTTCTACTGGGAAGAGGACCACAGATACGTTCCAGCAGGACTGAAAAGCCACTACCTTCCTGCTGCCTCCGCTTCCACCTCTCCCAGCTGGAGCGATGCAGCACGCAAACGATCCACGCCTGCTGCTGCTGCTGCTGTTGCTCCAAGTGCCAAAAAGGCACGAATTTCCGAGGATTCTGAAGACGAATTCTCGTATATGACCGAGTTGGATTTGCTGGAATTCCGTCAACGGTATCTTAACCCTGAAAGCGCCTGCAGCAATGAAGGAAACGTGTCCTTCCTATCAAAGGACGAGTTTCTCGCTTCCACAGGCAAGAAATCGCCTTGGATTATGGTTGAAAAAACTGCTTCCAGTAAGAATGATGTTAACAAGAGCAACAGCAGCGTGATGGTCTGCACCTTCAGCTCCAGCAGTGCAAACAGCACGAGCTGCGCATCTGTACGAATTCCTGCTGTAAAAACCAGCACAAAAGATTCAGTGAAAAAAAGCTCCAACAAATGCCAGACCTCAGAAAAAAAGATTGGTCTTTCCAACCTCAGCTGTTGTTGTCCCTGTTGACTTTAATACTGCTGCAGCTGCTGCTAAGAACTCTGACAAAATTTCAAGGCAAATGCCAGGTTCTGATAATGATGATGCAGCAAAGGTAAGAATGGAAGGGACAACAGCAAATAAGGCACCAACTGGGAAGGCTAGAGTGACGAGGCAGATGAGGAGGTGGGTGAGTAGTGCTTGGTCAAGCATAGCCTTGAATAAGTAACACAATGGCAAGTAAGGTAAAGCTGGTGAGGGTGATGTGGAATGCTGGTGGTAGGGGTTCACCCCCTTTTTTCCATCCTGTCTGGCAGGATGTTGTGGGAATGATGGGAATGACTGGTGGATGGAGAGAAGAGACTGGTAGGAGGGGTGCCACTGTAGACTTAGTAACCATGTATATTCTGGAAATCTCAATATATGCATCTTCTTTTTATGCTCTAGTCTGGATGGGGGTGAATGGAGTGCATGGAATGAAGGAATGAGTGTGAAAACAGAGAGTCTTGAGTTAGGCTGCCCATGTTCTGATAGGACTCATGCTATCTGATGAATTTGAACCAAAAATGGTGAACTTGTACAAAAACCTATCTCAGAATTGAATTTCGATGGTAAGGAAATGGAGCAATATTCTAGAACAATTCAATGTCAGGCCACAGTGACAAAGAATGAACATAAATGGTCAGGTTGAACACAGTCGCAGAAATGTTAATGAAAAGGCTCTGAAAACTATGAAGCAATGAGATGCGATATTCCCTTGTCATTGGAATGAGTGAAGTATCAACTAGGCCAATGTCAGAGCTTGACCAAAATGATTGGGATGGCAACAGAGTATGAAATGAATGCGGAATGAATCATTTTATGCGGAATGAGTCAATAGATACACCATGTCCCCATACCATGTTCCCATACCATGTTCCCATACCATGTTCCTATGCATACCATGTTCCCATGCCATGTTCCCATGCCATGTTCCCATCTCATGTTCCCATGCCATGTTCCGATGCCATGTTACCATCTCATGTTCCCATGCCATGTTCCCCTGCCATGTTCCCATTCCATGTTCCCGTCACCCATGCCATGTTCCCCTGCCATGTGCCATGCCATGTTCCCATGCCATGTTCCCATGCCATGTTCCCATGCCATGTTCCATGCCATGTTCCCACCCACTATCGTCAGGGTGGGGCTAAAAGGAAACGAGAAGGAATTAAGCAGAAAGGAGGGGGGTGGCGTTGTGAGGCTGAAAGATGTGGCCATATCTCCAATCCAATACTGTTTGCCGTTTTCCCTGCCATTTTTTACATCATTTTCCCATCCCGGTGCTTGTTTTTCCAGTCAGCTTTCCATTTCCAGTTCTCTTGTTAACTCCCACCATTATCCATTATCCAGCCAGCTTGATGGCTGTGCTCATGCAGTCTGGAATGAGGTGATGGGAGTGTGAGATGGGATGAGGTGATGGGAGTGTGAGATGGGATGAGGTGATGGGAGTGTGAGATGGGATGAGGTGATGGGAGTGTGAGATGGGATGAGGTGATGGGAGTGTGAGATCGGATGAGGGGATGGGAGTATGAGATGGGATGAGGTGATGGGAGTGTGAGATGGGATGGGGGGATGAGAGTGTGAGATGGGATGAGGTGATGGGAGCGTGAGATGGGATGAGGTGATGGGAGTGTGAGATGAGATGAGGGGATGGGAGTGTGAGATGGGATGAGGTGATGGGAGTGTGAGATGGGATGAGGTGATGGGAGTGTGAGATGGGATTAGGGAATGGGAGTGTAAGATGGGATGAGGGGATGGGAGTGTGAGATGGGATGGGGTGATGGGAGTGTGAGATGGGATGAGGTGATGGGAGTGTGAGATGGGATGAGGTGATGGGAGTGTGAGATGGGATGAGGGGATGGGAGTGTGGGATGGGATGAGGTGATGGGAGTGTGAGATAGGATGAGGTGATGGGAGTGTGAGATGGGATGAGGTGATGGGAGTGTGAGATGGGATGAGGGGATGGGAGTGTGAGATGGGATGAGGTGATGGGAGTGTGAGATGGGATGAGGTGATGGGAGTGTGAGAAGGGATGAGGGGATGGGAGTGTAAGATGGGATGAGGGGATGGGAGTGTGAGATGGGATGAGGTGATGGGAGTGTGAGATGGGATGAGGTGATGGGAGTGTGAGATGGGATGAGGTGATGGGAGTGTGAGATGGAATGAGGGGATGGGAGTGTGAGATGGGATGAGGGGATGGGAGTGTTAGATGGGATGAGGTGATGGGAGTGTGAGATGGGTTGAGGGGATGGGAGTGTGAGATGGGATGAGTTGATGGGAGTGTGAGATGGGATGAGGTGATGGGAGTGTGAGATGGGATGAGGTGATGGGAGTGTGAGATGGGATGAGGGGATGGGAGTGTGAGATGGGATGAGGGGATGGGAGTGTGAGATGGGATGAGTTGATGGGAGTGTGAGATGGGATGAGGGGATGGGAGTGTGAGATGGGATGAGGGGATGGGAGTGTGAGATGGGATGAGGTGATGGGAGTGTGAGATGGGATGAGGGGATGGGAGTTTTAGATGGGATGAGGTGATGGGAGTGTGAGATGGGATGAGGGGATGGGAGTGTGAGATGGGATGAGGTGATGGGAGTGTGAGATGGGATGAGGGGATGGGAGTGTGGGTTGGGATGAGGTGATGGGAGTGTGAGATGGGATGAGGGGATGGGAGTGTGAGATAGGATGAGGGGATGGGAGTGTGAGATGGGATGAGTTGATGGGAGTGTGAGATGGGATGAGGGGATGGGAATGTGAGATGGGATGATGATGGGAGTGTGAGATGGGATGAGGGGATGGGAGTGTGAGATGGGATGAGGGGATGGGAGTGTTAGATGGGATGAGGTGATGGGAGTGTGAGATGGGATGAGGGGATGGGAGTGTGAGATGGGATGAGGTGATGGGAGTGTGAGATGGGATGAGGGGATGGGAGTGTGGGATGGGATGAGGTGATGGGAGTGTGAGATGGGATGAGGGGATGGGAGTGTGAGATGGTATGAGGGGATGGGAGTGTGAGATGGGATGAGTTGATGGGAGTGTGAGATGGGATGAGCACAGCACAGGTGTGAGCATGTGAGTTGCCTGGACTTGTGCTTCCACAGGTGTGTCAACACGTGCTGTATGGCCCTGTGGCAGCACAGGCATGTGTGGTGATGATAGGCTTTAGGGTGACACAAGCTTGTAAGCTACCACACCAACACGCTTGATCACCTCGAAGGGCCCAATCCATCGAGGGAACAGCTTTCGTGCTCCAGGGATTTTGAGACGAATGTTCTTCGTGCTTAACAAAACTTTGTCTCCAACCTCAAACGAGGCTTCCTGGCGTTTCATGTCGGCGTAAGACTTTTGTCACTGCTGAGAGAGTTGCAGCCAATGGCGAGCAGACTTAAGCGCTTCTTGCTGCTTGCCAACAAAGTCTTTAGCGGCTGGAATTTTCAATCCGCCGATCCCATGCGTAGCAGGCGTTGTGGGATGCCGACCATAGTTCAGAATGAAAGGTTTCTCACGTGTACCTTCATGAACTGAATTGTTCACTACGACTTCAACGACAGGCAACAACTCGTCCCAATCATCCTGAGTTGGGCCAATGAATGAACGAAGCATCTGCTTTAGTGTCCGGTTTGTTCGTTCCGTCTGCCCATTCGGTTTGTGGGTGGAACGCCGATGACAACTTAAGCTTCGTTCCTAGTGTCCGTGTAACTTCTTGCCAGAACAGGCTTGTGAAGCGCGGATCCCGGTCGGACACCAATACACGTGGTAACCCGTGTAAGCGGAAAACGTGTGCCACAAACAATTTGGCCGTATCTTCCGCGGATACGTCAGTTGTAGTAGCCACGAAATGCACCATTTTTGTCAGACGATCCACAAACACTAGGATCGCTGTATGGCCATCACGAGTCTTAGGAAGGTCCGTGATAAAATCCAAGGATACGCTCTCCCAAGGTTCATTCGGGATCTCGAGTGGTTGAAGCAAGCCACCAGGCTTCTTTGTGTCCGTTTTATTTCGTGCGCATGCGTCGCAGTGCGCCACGATTTGCTGGACCTCAGTGCCCAATCCCGGCCACCAGTATACATCACTCAAGGCCCACCTGGTCTTTTTGACCCCTAGGTGCCCTCCGTACTTAGTGGCATGCACTTCTTCCAGAATATCGTTCCGCAGGCTACCTACGTGAGGTACAACGATCTCCTTCTTACGCCACCAGAGCTCATGCTCCCACTTGAGTTCCTTTGTGTTTCGTGGGTCCTGAAACCAGGAATCAATTTGATACCCTGTGCGGATGCGTTTCAGGAAACCACTGAAGGTAATCTCACTCACTCGAGCCGTTGCTAGGACACTGAAGTAAGCGGAAAATACTGCCACATTCTCTGTGTCGTCTAGACGTGTTGCTGGCCCTATCGGCTGTCTGCTGAGGGGGTCAGCCAGGTTCGTCGAACCCGCTCGATATCGAATATCGAAGGTGAACCCACTAAGGAGTTCCGCCCATCGGGCTTGACGTCGAGTAAGCGTGGCTTGGGTGGAGAAGTAGGTGTTTGGACAGTGATCAGTCGTAACCACAAAGTCCACACCCTCTAGATAACATCGCCATGTTCGTAGCGCATGAACGAACGCCAACAGTTCTTGTTCGGACGTCGTATAGCGCTGCTCTGCCGGGGAGAGCTTTCGACTCTCAAATGCCACTGGTCTCCCTTCTTGCAAGAGGACCGCCCCAATCCCAATCAATGAAGCGTCAGTAACAACCTCATAGGGCTTTGTCGGATCTGGTAAAACCAGAACCGGAGCATTGGTCAGCAATCGCTTGACCTCGTCGAATGCCTTTTGGCATTGTTGTGTCCATTGCCAAGCACTACTCTTGTGAGTGAGGGCCGTCAATGGGGCAACAACGGTAGAATAATTCTGCAAGAATCGACGAAAATAGTTCGCCAGTCCCAAAAACGACCTGATTTGACCCACATCTTGTGGTACCGACCAGTTCTGGACTGCGACAACTTTCTTTGGGTCTACTTTGAGACCATCATTTCCCACGAGATGGCCAAGATATTCCAACTCGCGTTTGTAGAAATGACACTTCCACAGACGAGCATAAAACTTATGCTCTCGAAGTTTCCCTAACACCCACTTAAGGTGTCGCGTGTGCTCCTCTTCCGTCCTGGAGTAAACCAAGATGTCATCCAGATAGACTAAAACGAACTGTCCAATCGCCTCGCGAAAGACATCGTTCATAGCTCTCTGAAAAGATGCAGGAGCATTGGTCAAGCCAAAGCTCAGCACTCGCCACTGAAAATGACCAAACGACGATCCGAAAGCCGTCTTGGGTACATCTTCTTCGGTGATGTGCAATTGGTGATACCCCTGCGCGAGGTCCAATGCGCTGAACCACTGGGCACCCTGGAGTTTGTCGAACAGGTCCTCTATTCTCGGTAGGGGATACCTGTTCTTCACCGTTATCTTGTTCAAAGCACGGTAGTCTACGCACATGCGTAACCCTCCGCCCTTTTTGTTCACGAACAAGATCGGCGCTCCGTAAGGTTGTCAGAATTAGAAACAGGAAAAATGATTGTGACTAGCAGGAACAACAGTACAAATATGAAACCCTAATCTGGTGTACCCCCTATGGTGTGACCCACTACAGCCTAGAACCACACAAACATATAATGTTTGACACACCCCCATAGGCAAGGTGGGGGAGACCTAGGGGTTACAAGACCAGTCAAGGCAAAGCAAGGCAAACAAGCTCAGGGTGGATCTCGAGGATTCCACACAAATTCCGAGCACAAGCAAGTGGTCACAAGACCAGTTCACATGCAGTTTTATAATAGAGCAAGAGGTACAATGATCACAACCTAGCAAGGGCAAACATGCAGGTATATATATATAATGATCACAGTACAGCCAAAGTCAAGAAGTAAGCAAGTGAGGAACAGTCGGCACAAGGCCTAGAAGAGTGCAAAAACGCTGATGGTCAACAGGCGGAAGCGCCTTGGTGAACACATCAGCAGTGTTGGCCTCAGTGGCCACGAAACGCAAAAGAAGCTGACCACGCTGCTGTAGCTCTCGAGCTAGAAAGTAACGCAGAGCAATGTGCTTCGTCCTATGCTCCAGTCTGTGCTCCTAACACAAGGCTATGGTTGCCTTGTTGTCGACGTACAGCACTGGAGGAGAACGAGGCTGCTCTCCAAGGTCAGTCAGCAGGTAGGTGAGCCAGCGAAGCTCCTGGGCAGCCATGGCCGTGGCGTAGATCTCAGCCTCACAGCTGGAGCTGAGAACAGAAGAAGAACGAGTAGAACGCCAAGAGACAGAGCTAGAGCCAAGGCTGAAGGTGTAACCCTGAGACGACCGCTGAGTAGCCTGGTCATCTGCCCAAGAAGCGTCTGAGTGCCGAGTGAGAACAGGCCGGTCTCGCCTTCCAAGCACTAGCCCCATGCCCGACGTACTGCACAAGTAGCGCAACACCTTCTTAGCTGCATCCATGTGCTCCTTCCGGTGACGGCCTGGAGCGACATAGCGTGCTAAGATGCTGAGAGGGTATGCAAGGTCAGGTCGAGTGCAGGTCATCAGGTACATGAGGCAGCCAACAAGCTCTGGATACGGACCACTCGGCTCTACGGACTCATCCGAAGGCAGAGCTGAGAGCGAGTGTCCCGTAGGCAGAGGAGTGGACTGAGGCGAGGAGTACGTGAAGCCGAAGCGCTGAAGGACCTGCTGCACCATGTGTGACTGAGTCAGGGTGATGGTGCGCCGTGCTCTGTCCCGGGTGATCCGCAAGCCAAGATAGCTTGTCAGTTCACCCAGGTCTGTGCACGTGTGTCTCTTCTGCAGCTCGGACTTCACGTGAGCGAGACCAGCTGTGTCAGAAGTGGCAAAGACCAAGTCGTCGACATACACGAGGATGTAGAACGGCGGCAGTGAGGGGTCGGTGCGTAGAAACAGCGACGGGTCAGCAGTAGAAGGAGCGAACCCAAGAGCCGCAAGTGTAGTCCTCAGTGTGTCGTGCCACTCACGTGGCGCCTGGCGGAGACCATAGACTGGCCGCCGGAGGCTCCACTGGGTACCAGGAGGGAACGACCCAGTGAAGCCAGGTGGGCGGCGCAGCCAGATCTCCTCGTGCAGGCTGCCCTGCAAGAAAGCTGTGCTGAAGTCAAGAGAGTGGAGCTCGTAGTTACGCTGAGCGGCGACGTGTAGCAGAACCCGAAGAGTGGTCATCTTCGGGGTCGGGGAGAAGGTCTGGAAGAAGTCAACTCCCTCTCGTTGACTGAAGCCTCGTGCAACGTAACGCGCCTTGAAGACAGGCGGAGAGCCCGGCGGCCGCTTCACCCTGAAAATCCACATGCCACTGACGATGTTCGCTCCAGGTGGGGGAACCTCGTCGACGTAGGTGCCAGTGGACTTCCAGGAAGCCATCTCTGTGTCCATGGCTGACTGCCACTGAGAGGAGTAGGGACTGGCCATCGCCTCTGCGTTAGAGCGTGGGGTCGGGATGTCTGGTGCATCCGGGTCTCCCTCAGGGGCAACAAGCATGGACACGAGATGGGGCAAAGCAGCGGCAAGGCAACCAAACTCCTCCTGCCTGTCCTCGAGAACGTCCGTGCCAAGAGCACACTCACCCCCGACGGACGGAGGACAGACAGACTCAGACTCAGCAACAAGACTCGCAGCGTAGTCTAGACGAGCCTGATGGGAGTGGGAGATGACAACACATGCAATCACAGAGTCTACTTATTCATATGGTTTTCCTATTCCTGATCCTTCCCTATCAAAGTTTAGCACCAAACATCCTTACAAGATTGCCTACTACAAGAGCACATTTACAGTAGCCAAGCATTCATCCCATGCACGGGGGTTTACATGCGTGGTATTATTACCGAGAGGTCATCTTCTTCAGCTCCCGGAGGGACCGCTCAGTGTGCCCCTGAGGCTGGGAGCACAGGATGTACCAGCCAAGATAGGCACGAACGGCATCCACCTGGGGCTGGCGAAGCAGGCCTGCAAAAACAAACACCATGACCTGCAAAAAATGTGGATAGCAGCAAAGGGAAGGGTGAGCAGAGATGGTGTGAGGAGTTGGGACAAACAATGGCAGCATGAGCAGAGTGCTTGAGGGTTTTGGCTAGGACAAGCAACAGGGAATGGAGGGTTCATACCTGCATGACGACCCTGTGCTCATAGGCCGCCACAAATGCTCCGGTCTCGAAATAGGCGCTCTCCGGCAGGCGCATGTGATTCAGGCGCGTGCGGTCGCGAATGAGAGACAGGCGCCTGCCCATACACATCAGTTCAGCGGTGGCAAAAAGGCAGAAACATGTCAGTAATAGGACAGAACTTATGGTTTGAG